CAACGCTTCAAGACGACCAAAGCGGCCTGGGCGACAACGCTTCATTCTCACCTTTGCGCTGAAGCAGACACCGCGCAAGCAGAGATGGATGCGAGCTAGCATCAGCGCCGTTGAAACGTATCAAGCTATGACTCGGCCGAACTCACTGCTTCTTCTTGCCCCCAAAGCCGTATTTGGCATCTCTTGCTGACCTTGGCATTCTAGCTTTGGGTCTGGTTTGGCCTCTGCCGCCTCTAGAAGGCGGCCCCCTGCCCCGCTCCTGACCGTCGATGGCAGTCTCGAGCCGCACATCAAAGTCATCATCGTCGCCTTCCAAAGCGCCCTCGTGTTCTGAGAGGCACAGACGGACCACAACAAGGTGATTGGTGGATGCCGATCAGCTTGCTACTCTCGTACATGACTGAGAGCACTGGCAAAGTACTTCACTCACTCCTTTTGAGACCCTTGATGCGCTCATTCAACTCTCTCTTGCTCTTCTGCCTCTCGAGCTGTTTCTCGACCTGAACCTTCTTCCCGAACTTTTTCAATTCTCGTTGCCTCTTTGCCTCCTCAGAAGCCTTGATGCCAGCGCTTTCGTCCAGCAGCCTCTGTCTGACCCGCTCCATGTGCTCGTCCGTCTTGACCTGTTCGGCATAGAAATCTGCCGGCCTGTCGAAGGGTATGCCCGCTTGGTTGCACAGTCTTCGACCTCGAATAGCAGCGTCTAGCGCTTGCTTGTAGCTGCCAGGGCGCCCGAATCGCAAAGTGAGAGTGAGCGCTTTGAGCATCAACTTCGTGCGCAGAATGCACCACTGGCCGATCCCGTTCCACTCGCGGTACACTCACAAAGCCAGCTCCCGCTTCAAGTCGTCGTTGGCAGGATCCGGCACGCCAGCAAGTGCGGCGTCGATGCGCTGAGGGTAGACAACAGTCATGTGCTCGATCCATGGGAGAGCTCTCGGAGCAGATTGGCCAAGTGCGCCTCCATCGATGGACAAATCCTGCCGTATCCTGCGCATGGCATCTTGATTGTTAATCTTCTCTCGCACCGCTGGCCATTCTCCCTTGCCCTTCTTGGCAGCAGCCTTTGAAGAGCTTTGGGTTTCATCAGCCTCCTCATCGTCTTCCTCGGCTTCATCCTCGTCGTAGGACTCAGCTCCCTCCTCCTCTTCACCCTCAGACTCTGGCTCG